CCACAAAATATGTTTAGGAATCTTACGGACCAATCTTACAAACAATTTTCCAGAGAGTCCACCCTTTAATGTTTTAGACGGAAAGCGATGAGCTCTGAATACATGTATTTCCGAACTTCTTTTTGTCATAGGATCGAAGTGTCAAGAGGATTCTTCCAGTTCTTTCTAACATTTGCTCTGATATATTTTAGAAGCATTGCATAGAAATACAATTTTCACAACTAGCCTTCTACATACATTTGTATTTCGGGTGATCATCGCTGAAGTAAACAGTGTTATATTTTTTCTGTAATAATTTTGATGAACACCAGTTGAGACACGAAATCCGAGGTGTCAATGTCTACCTTAGGGCTTGAACTAAGGGGTATACATTTGCTTTACATTTTCGCTTATGATTGTATCAGTTAACCTGAAATAGATTTTCTACACAATATTCTACGTCGGTGCACCTAAATAGAGCATGAACAACACGTTACAGAACAGCGTGAATTCATTTATTTCGTGGTTTCCCTTCAGTTGCTTACAATCTGAAGACATGTCTAGTTGTTGTTTTCAAAACAACAGTGGACATATTTTGCATCTTATTATTGACGATTAGTAGAATAATTTTAGCACAACATGGAAGAATTATGAAAATGTTCTAGTGACTGATTATCTATTCAGTATGAGAGTCTATAAAATGGAATCTTATTGCATCGTTTAACAAAGTAATTAAAATAATCAAAAGTTTTCACACATTGAATAAAATAAAGGCGTCACACCAGTTAACAAAGTATTCAAAACATAACCAAAAGTTTAGATTAGGTTTGGTTAGATTAAGTTAGGTCAGTTAGTCTTAGAGGTGGCAAATAACTGGGAAAAATATGAAGGACAGCTATCTACTTTACCCAGAAAAAGGTGGAGAATACGATTTTAATTGGCACTCACGACTTATAAAAAGGGGAAGGGTGCTAAAGCTAAAGGAGTGAATATTACACTTATGTACTTAGAGATTAGCGTCGAACTGGCGAATTGCTATGGGTTCAGTTGTTCATGAATTTCAAAAGATCTGGCTCGAAGAAAGTTAAGATTAGATACGTTTGATTATTGATCTGCTAAATTATGCAATGACCTTTCCTTTTTAATAGACTCTAAAGTTGTCTAATAACAGTTATTAGGGCGAGTGATTTGTATTCCATAGGAAATGTCTCAAAGGAATTCCGTCATATAATTGCTGAGTCGAATGTTCGATTGCAACTCAATGTTTTACAGTATGATTGAAACTCAAAATATTGTCAATGATCATTGTAATTTTGCTTTCAATTAAGGATTTCTGTGGTTCATGAAGGAGTTCATAGGGTATTATTGTGGCAGCTCGCATTGCAACATGTGGTGAAACGAATTTTTGTCAATCGAAATTGTAATAAAAGTTGGAGAAAAATCTTTATTCATGCTCTCTTGATGCAGTTACATCGTTCAAGTATTCACATACGGACCATAAAATCCACCCAGATCTGTTGGAACACTTATATTTGAAAGTTATCTAAAACCATTGTAGCACGTTTTAAGCACAAAGTCTGGATAGTTTACTTAAGAAAGAAATGCTTTGAGTTTTATATTTTGAAATCCAATTCTAACTTTGACTACAGAAAATGCTTTTCCCTATTAACCCAATCTTTGTATTTCGCTTATTGATAAATTTCTTTACTCGATTCGTTCTTTTTTAAGATCTTCGTTGTATTTATGGTAATTGACAAGAAATACGTTCAAGCTATGTTCATAGTCTCATAGAAAACCAATATTCTAAAAGTTGCCACCTAAAAGTGGCAAACACTGACTACTCATTTCACTGTCATCTCAAATCCTAATGCTTTACGGCACACTCCCGGTATCTAGAGAAAACTCAACATCATAGACACTTCTGATCTACCGTGTGTCAGACAGTAAGAAATGAAGTGGTGATTTATGGAGAAATGTGTTATAGATTACGGACAATTCGAAGGAAGGAAGCCAACGGACTATCGATCGACAGATTCAAAAATGTTGCATTTTTAAGAATAATATTAAAATGTATATATTTAAAGGGCATCTTATTTTCATTTTGAGTCTATCTTAAGCCTGACATCATTTAAACATTTTACGCATTCGTAATTTCTATCAACTAACATTGGTAAATCGATTTGTCATGAAATTCTTACTAGGACTAAACGTTTTTGAGCTGGTTTGTGATTGCAGTTTCTAATATATCTAACATATACAAAAACAATCGGCAACTTATTGTTACAATATTCTGATTTTTCAAATTTGGATTGCAAATCTGAAACTCTGAAGATGTCTAATATATGTTATGATGATGAGTGATTTACGATGTATGTTATTGGATTCAGTGTAGTTCTTGTATTAGATAAAGTATTTTTGTTTCTCAATTTTATTTCCAAATGAAAGGAGCTGTTTGAAATAATCTCCTGATAAAGAAGAAAATCTCTGTGTTTCTCTGAAATTGGCATGGTTTCTAGTGGGCTTTTTATAAATAATAGTGATTAATAATCTGAATTTTCCAGTGATATAATTCCCCTTCGGTATTTAAAATAATTTAATGTTGTCTTCCTAGTTGTTTTCAGATAACTTCAAGGTATTTGATTCATACAAATATTTTAGTAGCCTGATGCTCCCTATAGACTATCCGAAAAATAGATAAAATTTGATCGAATAGTTATTTTCAATAACGTTTTCTTAGTCTCATAAATTATACATTCAAAAATATTATGTTACATTAGATAGCTTATTGATGGTTACATGTTAAAGCTACGGTTGAAATAATCCGTGTTGATAATGGTGAACGTCATGTTGATATACATAAAATACTTACAAATGGATTGTTACCAAATGTTACTAGTTATAGCTCTAGGGTTTCTTGTTATAACGGTCCTTTCACTTTTTACACGTCTGCGGGACGCTAATTTACCTTAGACGAACATCTACACTAGATTCCCACCCAGTATCTATTCTACATGACTTCAACACAACTCAGATCAAGAACACGAGATTAGACTGACTAGAACGTCATTATATATCCAAACCAAAATCCTACACAATCCAACAACAATGAACAGTCAATCGATAATAATCAGGATAGGGGAATATGTAACACATATAACACCTGTCACACTATCTACATGTCTGACTCAGCAAAACAACCAATCATTGTCATTCTTGCCCACACATCACCAAATTTTATGTAACGTATAACAGGTAGTAGGAAAAGAACACCCTTTGTGATGAGTTCAGTTATTAGATTAAAGTCGCATGAAAACAGTAAAAGTGTTGAATTGTGACTATTGTCATTATGGTAATAACAACAATAGTCCAGTTTTATGTGTTCACATATAGGTATAATATAATTGAGAAGAGGCCAGTAAGTCAATCATTAGTGCCGTTCTTTTCCGATGTCCGGATGAAAGAAACTCTCTCACTTATATATCTGTGGTACATATATTTTTAAAAGTAACTATCTTAGATCTGCATAATTATAAAGCACTGCAGCGTTTCCCATATTGTTTTAAGAAAAGTCAATCTTTGAGATATTGTTCAAAAATGATCAATGATACATTTTTTTATGAAAAGTTTTAATTTCGACTAAAGTAAACTTCTCTAGTCATGATATGGTATAAATTCCGAATTTCTTTTTTAAAATGTGTGTGAAACAAAATATGTTTGTTCATGAAGTATTCATTCAAATATGTCTGGTTCCTAAAGTCTGACAATATTAACATCCTATTGCTAAGACTATTGAAGTTTATTTTCCTGACCCTCTCAATTTCAGGATTCAGATAAATATTTCTCGAAAGTATCTAATTCACTAACAAAACAGTTAGATCTAACTTGTTCTTATTTATGGTGAAGTGATTTTGTCAGGTAATAAAGTCGCTGAAGTCATATAAATTACAATTTAGGTGTATAATGACACCATACACTACAAAATCACTTGTCTACCGACACAAATTTTCTCTGATTCACAAACCCCAGTTTACTGGTCATTTTGCGGAATGAATCTGCTTAAAAGCTAGAGAAAACATATTTGATCTTACATTTCCCAACAAACTAATAGATTGTTTAACTATACCAAATAAAGTACATTCAGGTTTTAACTATATTTGACAATAAAATCTAAATGAAAAGCAATATCATTGTTTATTTAAATAGCTGACCTTATAGGTTATAAACAATAAGTTGTTTGAAATTCACTTAGTATTATTTGTTTGGATCTTCCCATTGATGTTTCTGGACAGCAACTGGTCAGTCTGTAATTGGCATATGTGCATACTGTGCGTATTGCCTCGATATAGCCTCAATTCACAAGCATTGTAAGCGAAGATGGATAGTGGCTAGCAGTGGAATCCAATACGCGCGTTTCGACCTATTTGGGACTGGTCAGCTGGATACACCTGCATCTCAGAGTTGATGTTCTCTCTGGGACTCGAACCCAGTATCGTTCGCTTCAAACGCCATCGCGTTATCTACTCGGCCACTGAGTTGTTTTATCTATATTTACTTGTGCAAAATAAGCGTAATTTTGTTTAACATTTTCGAATAGCATTTATTTCACAGGAATTTATCTTAGATTATTACAGACTTATGAAAATTACATGGATGATATAATCACTTTAATTTAAAAAGATATTGGACTCTATTGAATTCATCAAAAGTGTAACTTGGAACAAAGCGAAATTTCACATCATACCACATTTATATGAACCTAGATGAAAAAATAAGCCCTATTTCTTGGAAAATACTGACCACTGAATGCCTTTTTCAAAATATTGTAAAGTATTTGTTGACACCTAAGTCTATTTCCAAACGGAAAACAACATGATTCTATTCAGCTTGTTCGTTATGACATTTTTCACATGGTCCAATCACAAAAATCCTTGTTCTAACTTTTAATCCCAGAATGCTATGTCTTCATTCAGAATAAACCAAAAAAATATCGAAAGGAAAACTATTATTGGTCTAAAACAATTCAAGTAATCAAGTTTCCTAATTCGTTACAACATTAATAGATTTTTTAAAGGGGAATTTCAATGTGAAATCTTTAAATTTTAGTTTCAAAATAATTTTCTGTAAATGAATGTTTTCTGAATATTTCCCTAATCAAATCATGAGGTAGGTCAAGTTTATTTTCCTTTTATCGGGTATTCAAAAAATATTAGTCAGTATGACGAGTAATATATTCATCTTATGCATAATTTGGAAGCTCCAGTCAACTGGATTCTTAAATATTTTGTACAATATTTAACGAAACCGTAACAGTTATACGTAGCTATACCTCAGAGAAAGAAATATGTATGTAGATGCATAAATTATGAGCTTAGTTTTATCGATTTTTTTCCAATTGACTAAAACGTAGTTTGTAGGTGTCATTAGTTAGAAAGACATCCCAGACCAAGGTTTGTGCCCCAGTGTTTAGAATCGCTCAACATAGACGTAAATTGACTTAATAATTTCAAATAAATTGAGTATTGGGTAGATTGTTATAAATAAAAATAATATACTGGTAATATCCCAATTAGCAGAAAATCTAATTATTTATAAAACATAGTTGTTTCAAAGAGATAGCTAGTTAGATTGGTTTCGTTGGTGTTTTTCAGGCCTTGGTTGTAATCTTTTTTATCAGAACAATGAGATTTTCTTATATGAACTGATTATATTGTACATGAAATTAGGAAAATACTAGGATCATTTGTGACAATAAACAGAGATAGAGTGCTCAAGAGTCCAGATAGCCGTTCAAAAGAACTTGAAGTTGAATAGTCTACAATTTTCTTATAATTATTTAGGTTCGAAAAATCCCATCTGTACAATAAATGTTTTCTAAACAAGATTTAAAGCTCCTTCTGATTTTGAAGGCGACACTCAGTCAAAATGTTTGAGTAAAAACCCAGCCGTTCAACAGAAATTTAGTTGTAAGGCACCTGGTTGACTTCATAAATTTTGTTGTATTAATTTTCGTTGAAGCACGTCAGGATGTTTTTAAATCGTAACATCGTGTCAGACAGTAAATTTGTCAAACTGTCAATCCGTTATTCATTTCTAACAAAACTTAATGTTACGTATGAAGTTCATATTAACCTAGATATCCCAATTTCATAATTGTGAATTGTTGACGCTTTAACTAGCAGAGATTTTAATGTCGCTTTTGTTTATATTAACATAATTTTATTTGGCTCAGATTTATGTTTGATTTGATGACTGTACATTGTATTGGACGTTGTTGTATGAAAACAACGTATTCAACATATCACACTAGTTAGTGGAAAAAGCACTAATTTTAATTTGTTCAATCCTTGTTTTCATTATACTCATTTTGTATTCGAAAGCATAGACCAAGATTTAATGAGTAGTTGACTAAGACATTCACCAAGAATGTAGTGCGAATGGGACGTATGGGGTTTTAGGACTTTGCAAAACTTATCTTAACGTTGAGCGATTCTAAACACTGGGGCACAAACCTTGGTTTGGGATGCCTTTCTAATTAAGATCAGTCAACTAAAACCAACATAAATAAACTAAATTCCACATTCTTTATCAAATCGAGATCGGTATTTATGGTAGTACTTACCGTTTGAAAAGCTTGTATTAACTGGTTTCAGTAAATTACAATGAACTATCAGACGTCTCAATGTTGTATTACCTCTTCGACAATTTTTAAATAAAATATATAAAATTTTTCCTTGAAGGAATAAACTACAAGCAACAAAAATAAACCATTTTTTCCTGCTAATTTTCTGCTTTTTAAGTACTGCGACATTTATATAAGTTAAATAATCACTAGTTCAGATTTTCATTACCTACTTTGGAATCATGTATATTTAACATGACACAGTTTAAATTGATTGGCACATATTTCGATAAACCTTTTGACAATCTTCTGTAGGAAAAACCTTATCGATTAGTAAATCTATTAATCAAGATTTTATATCTAAGGTTAGTAAAAGAACTGTTACGAAAATACACTAACAGAGGCAACTAAACTGAGAAAAAAAGGGACTAATCTGCAGAATACCAGCGGCTGTATCTCACTGACGAGTATGTTGAAGAAATAGCACCGCATTCGGTATACGTCTTGCAACTAACAACGGAACGTGAACTCAAAATTTTCAATGGATTATTAACTACAATATATACTGGGAAGAATAATCACGGTGTTCATTAAACACTTCAATTGGTAAAATGACTTTAAAAATAAAGGGCTCAGAATTATTCATATGTAAAGGAATTTATTCTGTTTACCATTACGTAACAAACACTTTTACTTTATAACTCTGCATCAGTTCCATAATAGTTTTCTTTGCCTCGATAGAAGTTTTATTCATATCTATACTTTTAGTGTGCAACCTCCGTTTGGAGCTTTTAAAGGATACTATCATATTATTCATTACTGTTTCCACGATTGGCAAGTGACTGGGTTTTAAAATACTTTTCAACTTGAAAAACCAAGCCTCACCACCACTGTGGATTTACAAGAAATTGGCGTTTCCATTAAATATTGTGAAGCCAAATTGTTTTTTATAATGTGACGTGGTGTAACAACATAAATATTAAACAGAACTTTCTAATATACATTAGTCACTCTATAAACTTTTTTCTGGAATTCTTTATGTCATAAACTGAAAACACTGTGCTGTTTGATTAACTTTTCATTTGAGTGTGTACTGTATGTACCAGTGAGTCACCATTGTTATAATTAGTGTATCCGTAGCGCAGCGTGAAATACATTCTAAAACTAATTTACCTGAGTCACGATCCCTGAGTTCGAATCCCGCATGCGGGATGCGCACTTCTGAGGAGTCTCATACTAGGATGAAACGACTGTCTAATGTCTACAGGTTTTCGATGGTGGTCTAGTTTACATAGACTCATGAACTCAACTATCAAAATATTCCGTTCCCACAATTCAATTTACAGCATAATACATTGTAGAATAATATTATCCATCAAGATTATTAACAGCACATAGAAGTTGAAACTTGAGAAAAGCCACTATTGAATAACTTGTTGTCATAGGAATACAGTCTTAATAAATTTGTTTAACAGTTACATCTGACACTACTATGATTGAAAATTTTTACAAACTGTTTGGATGGTATTTTATGGATTTTTAATTAGCTGGTGATAAATATTTTGGTACATTTGAGTAAAAACATTTCTATTTTATCTCAAATATCAGACCTTATTCACTTGAATAACGCTCAGAAATGTTTGTTAAGAATGGTCTTAACAAGTATCAGTCTGTTTGTGAAAACAACAGTCATTAAGATACAGACGGGTAAGCTAAAAAGTTTCTTTTGGGCGAACATTTTTATTTTTGAGATAGGTTAATATTTATATTTAGATACCATTAGTCTATTCTGTTCCTTGTATAACTATTTTGGTTTAAGGTATATTTATAAGTGATTTTTCGATACTCTTTGGCAATTTCCATAATTCTGAAATGGTTAAATCTACTCATTACATGATTTAATACAAAGTGATGGTAATATATAAACACTTTGGGTAGCTCATTAAACTTAAATAACAAATAGCTTTTCAGGTATTAACAATCCAGCCAAAATCACATCACAAGAAAAAAACCGGAATTGATTTCATCAATCGTGGCTTGCATATTTTTCATTGAAATCAAGTTAATTTTTCAAAACCCAAGTAGATAAATAAAAATGTTGTATGATAATCAATAATGAACGTACGTTAGGGGTTATTGAACTTTTGCTGTACTGCTCAAAATGATGGGATAACCCGAAGCACAAGTATTTCATGGGAATAACTTCGTTTAAATTCTTTAACATAAACGTTTTTATTGCTTTCTCCAGTCCAATATTTTTTATGTTTTATATAATTGGAACGTAGCTTTCGTGGAAAATGTCCTAATGACGACTAACCTATAATTGTTCTATTTCAGTTTTCTCACTAATTATTCGAAACAATTATGACCAATTATAATCGTCTAAAATGGGGACAAGGTATTTATTATAGAATACCTCTGAATTTTTCGGATTAACCACAGGGCAAATAATTAAGTTTACTAAATTGCTGTAAAAGTGACAAGGCAAGAAATTTGATTCAGTTTCATCACAGGTATTAAATTGATGAATAAATGGAAGGTTGCTTATGATTTTCATTAAGCAAATTCATTAATGAAATTAAATAAGCAATTCGATAAAAGATAGAAACTATTATCATAAATTTTGTTTCGCAACTTGGATGTCATGCTAAGCATCAACGTGCGTTCGCACTCACTTGGACCCCCAAATGCCCTGGTACGGCCGAGAGTGGGGAGAGTTCGCTCTCCCTCTCGAAATGCTCTCATATGGCCAGCGAATATATAGCCTCTGCCAGGGAAGCCTTACTCACTGCCTTCTCGTGGCGGGGGTGTTGTTCACGAAAGTGAGAGGACGAAAAGCGAATGTCCGGCGCTTTAACCGGGTTGGTGGACAAGGCGAGTCCACCTAGGGGAGTTGGAAAACCCTGATTCCAAACCAACGGTGAACATGGGCTCTAGTATCCTGAAGGAACAAATGGCGTACGAATCAATCGTTGATCACCGGCTACCATGGGACTGCATCTCCTCACGATGCTCCACTGCCTTGTGGATCAGATCTTTCAGTCAAAGGCTCGGGGTGTGGCCCCGTAAGAAAACCACCTGCTTCAGTTTGGGCACCTGGGCCCTCACACAAATGGAATGAGATTCGTATAGCGCATATGTATCTGGTGCTTCCTTGTGCCAATATTTATGTGTTTAAATAAATAAATATAAGCATCAACGTAATGTAACCAGCTTTCACATTTTAGAAAGTAAATAGTGAGATAACTTACTCCATTCTACAATAAATTTTTAAACGACTGTTCAAGTTATATCAGTAAAATGAAGTTATTATTTTCGATTCGCAACCCACGACAAAATTAAATATATTTGATGCTTAACTTTTTAAATCTTCACTTACGAAGAGTAAAGCGCCTGAAGACACTTTTATGTTTTGCTGTGCATACTGATCATAACTAACTAACGTCTTTCGCAAAAGAGCATTCTGTTTAAAAGTCAGAAGGACCTTACCTTACAGATATTCTATTCATCAATATCACGTGATCCTAAGGTGGCCCAGTGATCA